CTGATCAGGCCTGTCTGATCAGAACTTGATCTAAATTCGCTTGTAGTTTTTAGGATCCGAAACGTTGGATCAAACCTTGGTCAGGTTCTGATCAGATCTTACCTGATCAAGCGAACCGCACTGAAACTGAATCAAGTTCTGATTGGACTTCAAGTAGACCTGAACTAATTTCCACTCGGGTGTGTGCGAAAACTATTTTTCTGTCAAGAGTATCCACCCTTAGCTGAAAATAGTACATTATGGTACAAGGAACCGAAAGAAATTTATTCCTAAGTTGAGATGCCAAATATTATGATTTTTGAGAAACTACTTTTAACATTTTTTACGAAGTGATATATTCTACTGGAATGAAGCTGGTAATATCATAGAATATAATGCAGATAGATTTTTTTTCTTTTAAATATAGTTCTTCTCTTACTACCATTACGATTTTACAGGCGAGAGTATGATGTATTTTCATCTCTCCGTGTGCATGAAGTGAAGCGTGTGATAAAATTGGCTTATTGCACGACACAACATAAATTTTTCCACCCACTGCAGTAAAGTGAAACCTTGTGCACGGTGTGCATAAAGTTTAAGACAGTGCATGAACTATGAATTTTGAATGCAACAATTCTCAACTCCACGCACGTCGTACGGAAAACGAACACTTTATATGCACACTAAAAGGTTTCAAAGTAGTATATTTAATTCACTTTGTTATAGTATAGTTTCATTTATTATTCATATAGTATATTCAGTACATTAAATAGTATATTTGAAAACCATTCCCTGCGGTAAAGTAAGTATTTAGTGCGGTTTAGTAAGGTGCTCATTTTCCACCCGGCGCGCATAAAATCGTGAATGATCTCGCTCTCGAAATGCACTGCACGCACCAGTTGCACAGTCTAACCTGTTTTTATTCGTACTGCACTAAACTATTTTGGGTTGGTAACCCGAGAGCTAATAATGGACAAGGTTAAGAGACGGCAACTCCGTCCAAAAAATCTTTTTGATTAAAAAAACTTACTCTTTACATAACATCATAACAAAGTTGCAATGAATGAGATATGAATTGGTGTTATGGTGTTACTTAATTTGATTAAATCTGGCAAGTGTAACAATGTTGGTTGATAATAATTACCTGTCTTGATAGCAAAGGGATCCTTGGGATGATTAGTTTTTATGGCATTCATTCTCCTATTGAGGGGCCCAGACTGTACAGCACCACCTAGCCCACCCCCCGGGGGTAGAAGGGCAACCTGCTGGCTACAAAGTGTGGTCCCCTGCGTTTGCCCCCCTACCCCCGGTACCCCGGGTACTCTGACCCGGGGCTGCTCCACCGGAAGCACTCGACGTCTCTTCTTGGGCAGCTTGGCTCGCGCCTGCGTGTGACTGTAATACATTGCAAAATTGCTAACGATCACGGGCACCGGCAGGGCGATTGTTAATACACCAGCTAAAGCGCATAATGCACCAACAAACATTCCAGGATATGTCTTTGGCACCATATCACCATATCCAACAGTGGTCATGGTAACTAGTGCCCACCATAATCCCAGTGGTATACTCTTGAAGTCATTTTCCGGATTGGACTGGATCCTTTCAGCGTAGTAGACCAAGCTGGCGAAGATGACGATGCCGAGGACCAGAAAAAATATCAGCAGGGTGAGTTCTTTGGCTGATGCACGAAATGTTTGCATCAGTATCTTAAGCCCCGATGAGTGTCTTGTTAATTTAAACAGCCTAAGTATTCGAATTATACTGAAGAATTCGAGTATATCAGCATTACCAAGATGTGCGGCGAATTTTTGTAACGCCAAATCAATGTAGAAACTCAATGTTGCCACCATGTCAATTAAATTAACCGTTGTACGGAGAAATGCCCAACGATTTGGACTCGCTGTTATTCTACATATAAATTCAATAGTAAACCATGCATTGCACATGCACTCGATGTAGAAGAATGCATCATGTGCGTTTGTCTCGATTTTATCGTACGTTGTGCTGGTTTCATTACCACGTCTACTTGTTCTTCCCTCAATCACTGGTACACGCATGTCTGGATGAGTTTTCAGGCAGAAAGACACGATCGAGACACAGATGAAGAAAACGGATATAACGCCGATTATCTGTGAACAGAAAATTTTAAGTGCTTCAATTTGTCACTTCCTCTTATGCTTGTTCTCATGCTTATTCTTCAGCTCTTTCAACCTCTGTTTTCTGGAGGAAAAGGCCTTCTCTCTTTCTTTATCATCGATCCAATCATCCATTTTGTACTCGTCGACGGCTCTGTAGTAATAAGCGGAGAGGTGATTTTTAAAAATTTTTTATTTATTCTTTTACCTCGTCCCAACGCTGAACGATCATCTAGCGAGAGGACAAAAAAAGAAGAGGAGGAGGAGGAGGAGGATGAGGACAAAGAAGCAAAAAGGGCAATTAAAAAATTGAGGGAGACAAGGGACAAATAAATTTCCTCTAAAATTCTTCTCAATCGTCTGATCAAGATTACAGTAATGAAATTGTTTGATTGAGCCACTCAATTGACGGCAATTGGGGCTCCAGTCCCCTAACCAATTTCAATGTTTATCATTATTCATTAGTTCTGCACATTACCCTCATTAGGGATAATGAGGTACCTTGAATATTTCAGTGAATGTCTGGGGTATTCCTGAAAAAGTCTTGCCCAGCGATGCCCCTTTGATGATGATTAGAACATTGACAGGACGTGTCAAATGTGGGTCAATTTGACCGCAGATTAATGGCAGTAGATATACAGGACATTTGGTGATACGAGAGGGAAAATCCACTCTCTATGTATGTTGAGGAGTATGACGAGGAGTGAGGGGGATGGGGATTTGTGGGTGACCTCTGTAAGCACAATCTAGTCGACCACCATTCACCTGGTAATTCGTACTTGTTCATATGATCAAATCAGACTGGTAAATTGCACGTTCAACCCAGAGAATGACGTGGTACAATGGGCTAAGGCGACTTCAGCGAATCGTCATTCCATCGATTGCATGTAGTTGGTTTTTATTCGAGATCATGGTGACTGTTGAGGAGTCTTCACAGTAATAGAATTGTGAAAATTCGGATTATACTGAAGGTTGAATGGAATTTAACACTGGACATTCATATTAAATTGAAAATTTGAGAAAAATCAAGGACTTTCGTATTTACACACTTTAAAATTCAGAAATTTCACGGGATTTTCAGTAAAACTTAATACTTATGTTTTTATTTCCCACCTAAATTGCATTCGAAGTGTAAATTTCGGAAAATTGTTCTAAAAAGTCGTAACCAACTGTCCATTAAATTTCCTTTTTTTTCTAACCAGATAGGACATAGGGGAAATCAATTGAGGACATCCATATTTAAAGGAGAATTCATGGAAATCCGTGATTTTCCAATAAGTCTGAGGTGAAAATGTCTTGAATTTGAATTCTTGATCGAACACGACAAATAGTCAGCAACCGAATTACAGAAATTTTCAATTTATCCTGATTTTTCACCATTTTCATATAACATTTGATTTTGGAAATTTGATTTTTCAATGTCAAGATTTCCTGAAATTCCAGTAGAAGTTAAAGAAAGTACAAATTTCCGAGCGCTGAATTTTAACGCTGAAAACTAACACGTAAATGTTTGAAATTGTTGTTATAATAATTTCATGTTTCTTTGCATCAAATTTCCGGTCATTTTCTAACAGTGGATATGAGGATGGAGAGTATTCAATTGAGTGTCGCAGGCTACAATCACTTCTCAACTTGCCTTCCATAAATTTTGGCATGGTCGGTATTTTGAAGTGCAGTTAAACACCGTTTCACTGTTTGAAGCAAAAATTTTATATAACTGACAATTGTATTTGCTCGTTGAACTTCTGGGGTCTGTGGCTGAAGCGACATTGACGGCTGGTATTAAATGATGGCCCTGGATGACGTTACTTTGAAAAGATCAGAGCATCGCTGGCAAATTACTATTGAAATCCCCGGCAAAACACCTCAAGAGTTTCAAGGATGACAAATTCACATGCAATATTGGTGCATTTTCTTCCTGGAAAACCGGGTAATGTCTTAGAAGATCGATGAAATTATAATTTCCTGGATGATATGATGATAAAATTTTTTGAAAACAATCGAAATTTGTGCCCTTTTTTTTCAGAATTCTTACTTTCCCGCAAATTCCATAAAAAAAATCGGGAAAGAACATGAAGTCGACTTTAGCTTCGGTGAGGTTTTCCAAAATATCTCCAAAAGTAAGATTCAGAGCGAATTTTTTTCCGGGCCTTTTGTGCAGCTCTCAACTACTTTTACAAAAAAGGTTTTAACAAAAATTTAATTAACTCGTTTAGTTTAGGAGATATTTGATAAGCCGTCCCATTTTTAGAACTACAGCTCACAATTCAAACGCAAGGATTGGAGGGAATTTAACCTTGTTATGACGGTTAGGAAACGTGGGAGCTTTTTGAAAATCAAGTAAGAAACTGGGAAAACAATGTGGATTAATAAAATATCCAGACCTATGTTTGACTCTCCAATGATAAACATTAATGGTATTTGTTATGGCAGTGATGAAATAGTGTTACCGACCTTGGCTGCATTTGAGGAGTAAGGTTCATCGAATAATGACCACATTTTGGGTTTGAGTTTTTGCCACCACGTTAACGTTCCATCGTAGTAGGCCTCTTCGAATCCAAATTTACGGGCCAATTCCTCATCACTCGGCTTTTCTGTATCCAGATCCAATCTATCCAAGACTGTCAGGGTCTCCTGCGTGTCCCGATGCTAAACATTTCCCATTCAAATTATTAAACGAATAATTCAGAAAATGGAAGGGGCTATACTGGAGAAAAATTACACATGAAATTTTTAAGGATGTTTAACCCCTCAAGTGAGCAATCGCGTCGGGAAATAAAATTTGTAAAATCAGATGAATCATTTACGATGTAAATAATTTTTTCTATTAATAAAGCTTACTAGCTTTATGGCATACTTTTCGCTTCACATTATGAAGAAATATGGAGAATATTTCTAAACAGTGACGTATGACTGACTACTGTGGTAATACTCGAGTTTTGATCGTGCAAGAGCACATTTAGCAAAGTACTCTGCCATCACTGTTTCATTGTCATCTACCTTGCCCCCATTGCTCAGCTGTAAGAGCAATATTGTCAATATTTTACAATCGTAATGACGGCCACTTTTTTCCAGATCTTTTTGCAAATGAATCACAAATTTCTCGCCTATTGTATCGTGTAGGCCAATTTTTCTCGTTGGTAAAATATTCGTCATATTGTAAAATAAATGAGTGAATTTTTTTTATGATGTTGAGTCCCTATCCTAGTGCCTTTTTCAATCAAAGCTAACGCCGTCACGTTTCCCCATAGGACTCTCTGCTACAGAGAGCAGTTTTCACTAATTATTATCTTGCTAAAATGGATGAATGGGGGGGTCAAAAATATGACTTTGGAATTGTTCATACTCTCAGCTATTATATAAAAAAAATATAGACTGAATATAGTATATATAGTATTGAATATTACCAGTATCGGTTAAACATCCTTAATAACCACAAAGTGACAAAGTGACAAGAAAATCGCTGTCGAATTCGTTGTTGAGGTGTCACTTCAATTTTTGAATATTTCAATGATTATAGATTTTCAGATCCATGTCACACTGAACTATTTTGAAAATATTGTAAGTTTAGGCGATAATTGAAGCATTCATTGAAAAATCTATGATCGTGCTGCACGAAAAAGTTTTCCATTAAAATTGATTTGAAACTCACATAATTGAAGTTTCTGATGATATTGAGAATCAAATTTTAGGAAAATATTTCTACAACTTAGTAAAATAATATTTAATAATAAGTAATAATAATAGTCATTGAAAATACCACTAGAAAAATGGTTAATATCCCTTCAAATAGAAGTATTGTATTTGAATTTAACTATTTATTTCACTATGAAAGAAATTTGGAAGTATGGCATAATACGAAAAAATATGAAATATGAAATATGGAATTGTAAAAAAAACTGTGACAAGTAAAAGTCTCGCTTCATTGATTCAGTAAAAACCTGCCTTTGGCCAAAATATGACGTTTCTAGAAATTTAAAAGAACTCGGAAAATGTAAAAGAAAACGCTAAGAAAAGTGATACGACTCGTTTGAAAGGATTCAATAATTAAAACAAAAAATCAGTAGAGGCAGGTTCAACTTACTTGGCGCAGTTTTATTCACAGGATAATGCTAAAATGAAATTTGATTAATATTTAAAGGTGGCCGAACATAATCTTTGGCTATAACTGTAGTTGTTGAGAAGGACCGCGCCAAGTAAGCTGATCCTGCCTCTACTGATTGTTTATTTAAACGCCATTTTTTGTTATTTGGGCAGATTTCACGAATTTTTTCAATACAAATAAAAAATTATTTTCACGTTTTCCAAATTTTTATGATATTACGTTTTAACTTCATTTTAAGCATATTATTTGTATAATTTTTTTTACATAATGCACAGTATTTTTCAATGATTTGAAAAAACTCTTTTCTACATTCATGTATCTATTCAATTTATTAAATAAAAACTTATATCAATGAAAAGTTTGAGGGTGATTTATATGATGTAACTATGCACAGATTTCATGTAACTTGTGACGTTTGTATTTTATGGATTGATTACGATTTGAAAGTAGTGGAAGGGGTAGTTGTGTCGTGTATAAATACACGGTAGCTCTCGGCCTCATTTGTTGAATAGAGATGAGATCATTACTTGGCCTATACGCTACCGCGTATCTTGATAGTGGAAATAATTTTATGCGCAGAATCCGCAAGTCACCAGGTGAAGAGAGACATAAAATATGACAATAACATGAAAATAAACACCAATTTTAAGAATTTCTATTGCAGGAAGCATCATAATTTGTCTACAATTATTGCCTCGAATAGTTATTAATTTAAAGGAAAAAATTTATTTTATTCAAGTTAAGGAGTTTTAATAAATTAAGAGAAATGTCTATTTGATATTGATAGAAAGTAATTTTTCCCTTGTAAAAAATCCACTGTAATGTATTTTGAAGGCGGTTTATTTTATAATCTCTCCGATTCTAGCTCAGAATCTGAATCTGAATGCTTGAATTCCGATTCCTATATATCTATCGTTGAAAAATGAAATGGAAGCTCATGTAGTAGCAACACAAAAGTAAAAATACGCGCGCCTAGCGCGCGTTCATTTCTAACTATTAATAGCAATATCAAAAAATCTGTTACATCAGAGGACGTATGGCGATTTGGATAAAGAAGAGCAAATGCAAATGAAAACAAGCAGCTGGGCGTTCCTTACGGCCAAGGACATATGATTGTTACTTCTCCTAACGTGTACATCTCTTTGGTTCATCTAAATGGGCCACAATGTAACAAATATTTTGAAAAAGAGAGATACGTAAGAGAGATAAGTTGAATATCTCCTGAACGAATCATCCAATTCAGCCTATCTGCGATACCAGACATTGCAGTTAGAAGAACAATCTTTTTTCTACAATTCAAGCTACTAGAATGGTTTTTAAACATCAGAGGACGTACAATGCATTTTTTCGAAAAACCTAAAGATTGAAATATCTCAAAAACTTTGAAAATCCGTTTTTGAGTACTGTTCGTATTCTGAAAATATGTCGAAATTTTAGAAGTTGATCGAACAGGTCCCCCCCCCCCCCCCCGAGACCGAGTCTGTCTAGTTTTAAGAATTTGTGTTGGCAGGTGTGATGAGATTTTTTTACTGTTTGACGATTTGAAATTTAGGAGTTTTGATTGTCACTGTTGAAAATGCAGTAGGGATGGAAGTTAGTCTGATGCTGATTGAATCGTTGTGAAGAATTATTGGTCGGAATATTTTGAGTTTTGCCTGAAAGTTTTTTTGCAAGAAGACGCGAAATGGCCAAGATATAGTATATTGTGCATCTATGGCGGTCAATGGTTTGCCGCCCGAGGCGCACGTGTTATATTTTTTCCCTCCGCTTATCAGGGAGCAAAATACGAACTTTCCGTGCGAGTGTGTTGAAAATGGCATTTATAGTATTTAATATGCAACAGATTTGTGTTGGAAAAATTCTTCCGTTTAACTCGATTGGATCAAAAATTACGAAAATAATTCTGTAATCTGGGATTGAATGAAGTTTGAGATAATTTGTTGGTTATAATGTGAGAGATTGATGTGGGCTGGGTTGACTAAAAGTTTACAATCCTTGGATTTTTTCTTCTGATGATTCTTGGCTCTTGATTGAGGAAAGCCAACACTCGTGTGAAGGGATAAATATTGAGGTTGTGATGAGTGATAAGAAAGTCGATTTTAACATTGAATACGTTGACCACAGGGTGCTCGGAGCATATTTCTTTGATAATTGCTAATAGAAAACTTTAATAATTAATCACCTTAAAACGGTGTTGTGAATCAAATTTTATATAGGTATCTCAAATTTTATACAGGTATCTGTTATCGCTTCAAAAACATGATCTCCGAATTTCAAGCCATTCTTATATCTTCGCCAATAAATAAAAAGCAACCTTAAAGCGCCATCTTACAAAAGGGATATACTGAAAAGATAAAATTAATAGATTACGCAACAAGTGCGTAATGGATTTCTTGGCTCGTGCGAGAGTTGTAACACGAGCCGAAGGCGAGTTTTACAATCCCACGAGTCAAAAAATCCATAACGCACGTGTTTCGTACACTATTTTAGGTCATTTGGTAATCCGCGATTCTACCGAGCGACGCGAGGTGAGAATCCCGTGATTACGGCATCTATGGCACAAAAATTTCAGTTGGTGTCAGTTTCACCTTACGTGTCCGTATTACCCGGTGCGAGGTAGTTAGCACCACATAATTAAAAATTCATTAGTTTTTTTGTTTCGATCAATAATAGGAGCTTTGTACATCATTGTAATACGATTAAAAAATTTTGTAGACGCTTAATTAAACAAAATTAATTAATTAAACAAAATAATGATCGGAAGTTAGCACGCCATCCCACTAATTTCGGTTGGGGTACAGTCAGCCCGAAATTTTTTAGTAAGTCCGTGGTAGACCCCAGAAACGTAAAATCACTGAACTAGAAATGCGCGCGCATGATCACCACGAGAACTTGATGTTGGCATGAAATTCACATAATGAGATGTTAAAATTCACAGGATTCCAATTCAGTAGCCATGAAATGTAGCCAGAGTCATTATCAGATAGAATACTTAAGAAACTATTTGTTTTATTAAGCGG